AAACAGACAAATGAGAAAGAGAAGTGTGGTGGAAACGGAGGTGCCTAGAGCCAGGTTTTTGGTTCTAATAACGAAATGTTTAAAAGTGAAATTTGCAGTTACTATGTGCCTAGTGAAGAAGGAACTACAGATTGTGTGCCTGTTATTGTGTAAACACAGATGATAATTTAAGAAGCTTTATACAATTAATTGCCTCATTTGACAAAATTCTACCTAAACTCATGCGGTTCGAGTAGAGGCTACAGGAAGAACTCGGGCATTATAAAAATAAATAATCAAGATCAGCTTGTTCCTTCACCTTACCCCTGGCTTCAAACCCTTAAATCGAAAAGCCGGACTAGAGGAAGATTGCGTAATGGGGTGGATTTACAAATTACCCAAGTTTTATGGAGTGGGAGGGGATCAAATTCCCCTCCCTTGGAATCGACGACGTCCACTCAACAGCTGGGATTGTTCAACCTACCTGCCATCTAAAAACCTTTTTTATTCAAACATACTTTCCATTTCGCTGGTCGAAAACATCACTAAACCAGTGGTGACCGTGGTTAGTACACCCAGAGTTTTATACGTCTCTAAGGTCAGTTCATGCCACAAAACACCTAAAAATTGTGCATTCTATTTACCTGACCTAAATAAGTGCAAAAGATAACTTTTTGGCTTTAATGCCTCTACTCCCAAATTGTAGTCCTTTTTTTCTCCCTAGGTCATCAGCCACTTTAGGCTATAAAAAGGCGTATACATTCTTAGGCTTGTCGAAGTTGTGAACGTGCATAATTGGATCCAAGCGCACTCCCTTTCACATGTATTATTCCAGTTGAATTATTTTTGGTGCAGCTGAAATTGATGAAGAATACGTGTCACATATCTGTGACGCTGGTGGTAAAGGTATTGATAATTATGAACTCCACTGTAATTGGATATGCTGTGATCATCGTCACGAAACATGTCCGTATTTCAGGTAATCCGGGTCTAGAGTGGACCAAAACGCGTTGTTTCGTACGGTGGCTGCTTCAGTTGCTAGTGCGCCCACTTGGTCATACCACAGCGTATTGTCAGCTTCCACTTTGACTGGTTCGACTGACAATGGGTCTACCCTGCCCACCTACCGCCTGCCTGACTTTCCTCTTGTCTGGTAGTCTACTAGTCTGTCAAGTCCAGAATCTCGACCAACACTTGATTTATTTGACTTCCTTAGAGGTGATTTTAAGTTTTCAGGTACTTGTGTTGACCGAATGGTCCACCTCCACTGCCACGACGTCTGTATTTAACCAACCGAAACCTTGGGCCACCCTCTTGATACCCCCACCCACTCTCCCCCTCCTGTACCTGCAGAAACCCAGTTTTCTGCCCTCCTTATTTCCTTCCCCATCCTCGGAGAAGACTGAGAGAGCTAAATTTAAAGGTGCTTACAAATGGAACCGACTGGATATCGTACTTGGGTGGCTGCTGTAAAAGTTTTAATCTACAAAGACAGCCATTTGCAGGGGTCGTTAACTTTTAGTAGTCTCTGCTATCACGAAATCTCGATGGTGGCCAGTAACGAAGAAGAATCAGATTGGAAGCATTTGAAAATGTCCTTTAAAGAACCGGATATGATTTCATTGTGGTCGCGGTGCTTCGAATTCCACGGAGAGAGTGGATCACCTGTTCATCTTGCGTCTCTTTCTAGTCGCTTTCCCTACTGAAAGCAACTAGAATGTGGAACACGCCCATTGTAAAACATTTTCCTATCTATATAGCCATCATTTATATACATCTATTTCCCATACGGTTTGATCTGCTAAATTCGTAATACACGAAAATCTTCATTGAATCCACGGCATGTGCGATACTATTGAATTGCACATAATTCTTCACATGATCCAAATTCATCCTACCGCTTTCATTTCAGTTGTGCGTTGGAAAACAATCACCAGGGATAGTCTTGAGGACCGAGAGGGAAAGGCTACCACGAAAACAACGCGGTACTAGATCAAAGAAGATGAAGACGCTGAAGCTTGTTTAATAGTATATTTTATCATACAAGGCCTTCAATCCCTCCATCTTGGTGTCCCTGGTGCTTCATCAGTGTTTATGGCCGCCTAAGCATGAAAGCTCTTACCCTCTGTGGAGTGCTTCATTACATTGTAAGGGATGGTTTGGGGCACTGCAGAGGTCCTTAGAAAGATTGATGACAACAGTACCTTGGTGATCGTAGAGGGTCAAATAGTCTTACATCTGGATGGTTTTTCGACCTCAGTGGAAACCTTTAAGACTGCTTCTCATTACCAGTGATTTTAACGTCATAGTTAAGTTCTGTAATTTATCCGTGAATTCCACGCAAGTCCAACACTTCTACACATCACCGAACGAAGGAATATGTCAGTTTACGAAGTTCAAGGGTAAATGTGAGCTTAATGGAGGACATGGACTAGTGGAAAGGTTAAATTTGATCATACACATAAAGTTTTGAGTGGCGGAGGAGAATTGGAAGTGAAGGGACAGTAAAGAATAACGGCTGACTTGACGGGCTTACGCAAGACGAATCGGGATTGATAAAGTAAAGTAAAAATCCAAGTTTTTAAGAATTTTACCAGTGCAAGGCTAATAATTCCCAAATTAGACACAGACTTGCAAATGTCAATTTTCTCCGAAATGAATAACTCGGCCCTACCGCCCTTTTCCATTGCACTTTAATTTTTCAACATCCCATT